TGCCCCGTCTCTTTCTCCTTTTTTATTGCTCTCTCTCTTTCTCTTTCTCTCTCTCTCTCTCTCTCTCTCTGTTCCTCTCTCTATTTAACAAGCGTTTCCATTTAACATTTCATTAAACATTTGTCTTTCAAACATACATGGTTCACAGTAGAAATTTAGAAGGAAGTATTACGTCCATTTGGTGAAATGTGTGAGAAATCTCGAGAGATTGGTCTAATTTTTGTGAAAAGTGATAAAATGAATAAGTAACATAGAAAATCGAGCAAGAAAGATTTCTTTTTATTTATTGTATTTTAAACTTATTTTTTGGACATGTATGTATGTAAATTTCTTTTATAATAGCTTTCTCATAATATTTTCATAAATATATAATTACATAATATTTCTTTATACAAATATACATTTTTAAGTTAATTTAATATTTTTCCTAATTTTCTATATTTTTTCTGTATGTTTCAATTTATTTACAATTTATTTTTATTAATTTTTATAAAGTTTCAATTATTTCATTGCAATATTAGGTTTATTTTCATCGCATGCTCCAATATGTTCTTACAATAGTGCTTACTCACTTCAATGAATTCGTTGGATTGCGAATAAATCTAGCGAGTTTTGCAAGAAATTTTAACAGAGTGAAAAAAGAATGAAAAGAGAAAAAAGTTTAGGTAACGCTAGATAACTTATTTCACGCACTCCATTTTGGCCAACATTAACATCAAAGATGCCGACAGAGAATTGCGCTACTGTATACTATGTCAATAAGATCTTCGCTCGTCTGGTAATATGATGTGTTAGAAGGGATAACATGGTGTGCAGTTTGCAAGCATCTTTCTCTGAATCTCCGTCCCCTTTGTCTATGAATGTCGATAAGAGACTAATTGTAAGAAACTGCCAATTGTGTAACGCTAAAACTATATTAAATAATGTTTTAAGATTCTAATACAGTCCTCGGATTGACTTATGACATCTTAAGATTGTACTTAAGACAGTCTTAAATGCAAGAATTAACTATGAATACAGTCTGTTTCGTGTCGTGAAATTGGTACTGAATCTTTCCTTGTTTAACACACTTTATGTTTCTCTTTCTATAGCAGGTCGGTATTCATAGTCAATCTTACATTTAAGACTGTCTTAAATACAGTTTTAAGATATCATAAGTCAATCCAAAAACTGTATTAGCATCTTAAGACATTTAAGACAGTTTAAAATAAAAACGAACTATGAATATCGTCCTATGTTTAGCGTTTCACAATTGGCAATGTTAGTTTCTTTCTTCGAAATTCATAGACAGAAAGGGCGATTCAGAGAAAGATGCTTGCACATACCATGTTATCCCTTTCACCATGAATATAATAGCTTGATAGCAGTAATGCGAATTCCAGGCTGCTTGCAGAACGGTTATTAGCATAAAAAGAGTATAGTATACACTGATGGACTCATTGTAATGTATGTACCTTCTTATGCTCCTTTCATACTAGTAACCATACTAGTAAGCGGCCCAGAATTCGCATCACTGCTTGGTAGCCACTGGTTACAACTTTTTAAGAATGCAAGTAACTGCTCTCTTTCTCTCCGGCGGATCTTATATCTATTGCCGGGTGGATCTTGAGCGCGGGTTTTCGCTAGATGCGCCAGCTTCCTGGGAGTTGAGTTGCGATATTCGTCGCGCGCGCGCGCTGCGAGCAAGCTTGCGCACAACTGGTTATCGTATGGGTGGCGTTCCTATGTGACGTAAGGAACCATACTTAATAATATTAATATTTGTAGTGCCAAATCATGTTTCTGGACCTGGAGCATATTCTCCCGAGTTGTGTCCACCAATGAATCATACTAGCTTACAGTATCAAGTCAGGAAGTGTGATAAAATTTCTAGATGAAGAATCCAGATCAAATTCATACCTTTTACGGACATGCATAGGATCCAAAGTGCCTGATAAACCTGCTCAGAGTGCATTTTCTATGTAAAAATGTGAATAGGTTTGTTGTTATTTAATTGATAATTTTTAATTCATATTTTTTGCAATTTTCGCAATAGTTAACAAAATATTACTAAAAATTGTCAAATATTGGTCTTGAATAATTTTTTATTCAAATACTATCAAATACTTATAGAAAAGCTGCAAGAGATAAAAATCATTTATTTTCTTCTCATAAAATTCTAAGAATTTTTTCAGAATTTTTTAATACCATATGTTTTCATATTGGTAAAAATAAGAAAATGCTAAAAAGTTGTACTAAAAAGTTGATAAAAAATTCTGAAATGATTTTTGTCTCTTGCAGTTTTTCTGTAAAATTAATGATATTTGAATAAAAAATTATTCAAGACCAATATTTGGCAATTTTAATTAATATTTTGTTAACTATTACGAAAATAGCTTTTCGACTCAGTTTAGTCCACTCTAACTACACAAAAGCGATTGGCAAAAACTTTTGAGACACCCTGTATATATATGAGTGTCCCAGAATGACGCCAAATATTCCATGTGTTGGTAGAGCGGACTAAACTGAATAAAAAGTCTTCTACTATTTTGCAATTTTTGCAATGATTAATGAGATATTAATTTATGGAATTTATTAGCCAAATTCAGCCTACCGCCGGAATGCAAGCACACAGTGAAATAAAAGATCAGAGAGATATACACGTTCTTCGTCACTAAACACGTTGTTTACAAGTGACATTAGCATTAACACGTCTAGCAATGGCGGACGTACACTTCATTGGGCGGTAAGTCAGGTGAATTTAGCTATTTTTATAATTAATATCTCGTTAACCATTGCAAAAATTGCAAAATGAGGACTTTTCGACTTAGCTTAGCAGTTTCTGCTACTATGCGAGAGTTTTGTTGTTAATTATCAAATACACTATATACATATGTATATATGCAGGGTATCTCAGAATGACCGCCAAAATATTTCATTTGCCAGTAGAATGAACTAAACTGAGTTGATAGTACTTGAATAAAAAATTATTAAAAACCAATATTCGGCGATTTTTAATAATTAATATCTTGTTAATTGCGAAAATTGCAAAATGAGGATTCGATGTCAAAAGTATCAAATTGATGTCGATTCCAATATCATTTTTGACTGGTTGATTAGTCCGCTTTACCAGCATACGAAATATTTGGTGATCATTCTAGGACACTCCGCATATATATGTATATATTATATATATAT